AAGCGTCCTGTAAGAGCCATGCTTGCACAGGTTCTGCGCAATCCTCTTCACTAATATTCTCTGGGTTTTAATCTAGGGTGACCATACGTGCCATTTTCCCAGGACGCGTCCTGGCCAGGATTTCTATATTGCCTAAAATATCTAGGTTTTGGCTTTGTTTGCGTGTGCAGACCGATCGGTGTTTGACATCAAAATACCTCAAGAGCATTTTGAAAGCATTAGGAACCGTCTGTATGGTACTTTGATGTCAAACACCGATCGGTCTGCACACGCAAACAAAGCCAAAACCTAGATATTTTAGGCAATATAGAAATCCTGGCCAGGACGCGTCCTGGGAAAATGGCACGTATGGTCACCCTATTTTAATCGGGCTCAAACTGATAAGCAATATTGACGCCACCATTGTTTACAATACAACCGGAGCACATTCTGAGGTGAGGGGCGTGACATTTCTGAACTGCACACGGCGGTTTAGCCAATCACAACACACTGGGCCAGCTAACTAATCTGAGCCCATCACGTATTTCTGAGGGAGGGGCTTCATAACACCAGGAAATCATCAGAGCGTGTATCGGTGAAGGGTCAAAGCGGTGTAGAATAAAGGTAAATTGTGTGAAAAATAATGCGTTTTTTAAAAACGAAGCATTAACACATGTTAGACTGCACCCCAATAAACACAGTCAAGCCTAGAAAAAAACAGTCAACCACCCCTTTAACAGAACTTTGTGAGATCGCATTAAGCTAAGATTAGCTTGTTAATAATTATAGCCTAAAGCAGGGGTGCCCAAACTTGGTCCTGGAGGGCGGGTGTCCTGCAGAGTTTAGCTTCAACTTGCCTCAACACACCTGACTGGTAAGTTTCTATGCCTAGTAAGAGCTTGATTAGCTGGTTCAGGTGTGTTTAATTGGGGTTGGAGCTAAACTCTGCAGGACACCGGCCCTCCAGGACCGAGTTTGGGCACCCCTGGCCTAAAGGGAGCGCTCTTTGCACCATAGCAATGGATGGGACAAAAAATAGACCAAAATAGACGTGCATTAAGGTTAGAGCACCCTCAGTATTTTCAGAAGCACCCTCAGTGATTTGATTCTGGAACCGGACCTGCCCCGCTGTTATTAATACAGTATGTCTGTTCCAAGTGGGTGATTATTATCTTCTAAAAATTTAACTTCTCAATAATTATGTTATGTAATTTGTGTGCTTAATATTTAATGTAAATGTTTAAATATAAAGCTTACTTCATCGCTATCATCATACAGTAAAAGAGTGTGTGCAGAGATGCGCAAATAATTACGCCATTTAGCCTGCTGTGTATAAATCCTGATATGTGCCTCACAAGGTTTATAGATCAGGCGCAAACATATTTTTTGTTACATGAATTAATTAAATTATGAAGAACGACTGGAGACGGATTGGAGATGCTTTTACTTTGCGTTATAAGCCTTCTGCGTGCTACATTTTTTTTACGGCTTTATAATAAGTTTTGGGGACAGACTTTGGCAAAAAGTGGTGGGGACACCTGCAAACTACGCCTATGGTTTGAGAGGTGTTTCCACGGAATGTCCAAACAGAACGTAGGTGGGCATTATACAAATGTGGTAACTTGTGAACTTCATGGAAATGGGATTCGAGTTTTAAATTACTCGTTTAAGCGATTCAGAGTCGACTCTTTCTTTTGAGGGTCAATAACTTTTTTTATGATGCTCTCTCAGCTTTACAACTTTGCAGATTGTTTACATTCACATACAGCTACATTACATGAAAAGTAATTTTCAAAAATCCATAACAGGGGCACTGTCATAGAAGACCATAATCTAATCAATCCACAAATGCATTACATTTTCGGAGTGTTTGTTTTCACTAAGTGCAAATATTCTGTCTTGTGGTGAAGGCTGTTTACACAAATAGAACTAGCAAAATAACAGAAGAAATCAGTGGTGTGGAGAGCAAGGAAAGTGAATTTAGCTTTTTTGATCTGCCTTTTTCTAATTTCATCATCTATATAAGGAATGGCTCTATTGCATTGTCATAATTTTGTCTTGAGAAGCGGTGGTGGCGATTGTAATACTTTAAATATCCATGATAAAACCTAAAATGATTGAAACTCAATACATAATACTTAAAGTAGTTTCATGAGCAGCAGTGAGCGCAATAAGTTACCATGCTAACCAGATACATTGCACACTGAATGTAGCTAGAAGCAAGAAACATATGAGCTTAATTTGTACTAATTATTAGGACATAATCAGACTTGAGCGTCAGGGTAAGTGCAGACAGGTGCATAGGTCTTTGAATACTAGCACATTTAATGGTCATTTGCGGCAGTGGTTGTACAGTACATAATTTATCTAATATTCAATAATAAACGTACATATATTTTCTTAGTGCTTAGACTGTGATTTCTGCAATACAAAACATAATATAAAGAAGAATTTTTAGAGCCAGGTAACCCCTGCTGTCATTAACACTTAAAAAGCATGTCATGGGAAAAGTATTTCAAAAGCAGCGCATCCATTATATATTTCTGTTTATACCTTAAATTCTTATCATTGTTGGAACTTCTGTATCATGACTTCATGTCATTTGCTCAGTTCATGAGAGTGGAATATTTAAATGTGTAAATGGAAAGCACCGTTTACTTCATCTCTTCCATCACACAGTAAAAGAGTGCATATGGCCCAGAGTGAGCGGCACTGCACATACAATTATGATGTTTATCATTTATAAATCCTGATACATGCACGGCAGTGTTTATAGATCAGGCCTATCTCATTATGTGTAAGGCTGAAGTTCAGAACGACTGACTGGGGATGCCTTTTCTTTGCATTGTAACTTGTAAGCCTTCAACAAGTTTTTTTAATTTTTTTTATGGCTTTTTTTATGGCTTTCAAAAAGTGGCGGGGGATTTTTCAAAAAATCAGCTTTTATAAAAAAAGGTGTTGGCCCCCAAATAACACCTATGCTCTATTGTATACTATTGCAAATATGCTTAAAACACCCCAAACCTCATATAAAAAACAGTAAATTAATTAATTGTGCTCAAAACACATGCTTTTAATTTGTGACTATGAAGTATTGTGAGTTGTAAGTTTTAAAAGTAAGAAAAGTCTCACAAGAAATACAAATAATAATTGATAGGAAGAACCTGAGCAGGATTAAGAATGTTACAATTAGATATATACGTGTAGACTATAGAGGGTCCATGTTAAAACTAAAGAAACATCCAGATGAACGTTACAAACTAATTTGAAGTGATTACATAAAAAGGTGTAGTGGGCTAATTTGGACTGCAGGTGGCCTTAACTACTACATACATACCTATATCTTTTAGCCACTATATTATTCACACATCTACATGTAAGGAGTTAATATGTAGGGTATAGCTCACCCAAAAATAAAAAGTCACTCATTACTTACTCACCCTGTTGTTGTTCCATTGCTGTATGCCCTTCTGGTGTTGTTTTTTTCCTTTTTTTTTTTCAGAACATGAAATGCTTTTTAAAAAAGACGGTAAAGTATCACAGAATTGTCCCATGACATGTTGGTCATATATTCCAATTGTTCTGGGAGTGTATGAGAGGGTTTGGTGAAAAACAAACCGAAATTTAGTTTAACAAAATTATTTATTTAATGAAAGTCCTAACCTTGGCCGTCGGTCTTCTGTGCATGACTGCACCTTCATGAAACTCGATTAATGCAGCAGTTCACTCCTACTCACCCAGAAAAAGCACACAAGTTGTTAGAAATCAAGATGAATAAAAATGCAACATGAAATACAATACCCAGCAATAATAGAATGTAAATAATAAAGTTGAATATCTACATTTCTCTACAAATATCTATGAAAGTACATGGATTGTATTTTGTGTTGTTTTTATTCATCTTGATTTCTCACAACTTGTTTGCTTTTTCTCGGAGTAAACTGCTGCGCTAATAGAGGCTCATTAATCTGCAGCCGTGTGCAGAGACCAAAGGCCAAGGCCAAGCTTTTCTTTAAATAATACATTCAATTTTGGTTTATTTTTCACTAAACCCTATCATATAACCCAGAATACTTGGAATATACGATATGTGCTGCATGGGACCATTCTGTGATACTCGTGTCTTTTTTTAAAAGCTTGATGCTGATCGCTATCCACTGCCATTACATTACGGGACATTTTTTTTATTCTCCTTTTGTGGTCAAAGAAAGAAAGAAGGGCATATGGCATTAGAACAAACCCAGTGTGAGTAAATGATGATTTAAAATTCTGTTTTTTCTTTCTTCTTCTGGTGAACCAATAATTTAAGGTGTGCTTAATAGGATCACTTCCCCTATATGTAATCCATCTTATATCATGACAAATAAAATAGTGAACCTGGATATTTTTGAAAACCTGGTCTTTTTTCAAATACTTTAAAGGTAAACTCATTAAGTTGTTGCTTACAATTATCGGACTCTTATTCTTCTCTGAAGAACAATGGTTTGGACTCTTTCAGGACACATATGGTTTGTTTACTGACTGCTGCTGCAGTGATGTTGGTTGCATGCTCATTAAATCTGAATCAGTGAATCATTCCATTTCAACATGTGTAACATTCAAGTTGTATTTGCTGTTATATTGTTTGGTGTGCTTGTTTTGTCCATCTACTTAATGTTTGTGCTTTGTAAAACACGGAAAGCAGTGCTTGAAAGCACTATATACAGTACAGTATATATAGCAAACATAGTAATAGCAGTAGTCAGTTTCTTCACAGCCAGTCGTGAGATCTCAACACAGTGGTGCCGGTGAGCGGCGCTCCACACACAATACAACAGCCTTTTCTGTCTGGACTCCATCTCTTCTGAGTGATAGTGATATTCTCAAATTCACTGCTCATTTCTTTAACTGTAAACTGTTTTTAATTAGCAAAAATTATTGCAGTTTTAACTTTAAAACATTTCAGTGCTCATTAAAGAATTAGGCAAATGTATGACATTTTCAAAGATCATCTGTCTTGAACATATAGGACAAATACATACTGTGTACATTCAGATGTTTTTCCTTTGCTCTGATAGTCCATAATGCACTGTATCAGATGATGATTTTCATCCAGCATCTATGCAAGAACAAACAGGCAAAGAAGGTCCATGATATAACTGCTACTACGATTACACAATAATAGTAAAATAACAGCAAATTGATATTAAGGGGTAAATCTATGGATAGTAAGTGCACTTTACAAAGATAAATGACCTGATACAGAAAGAACAGGCACTACTAAACCAATCGATATTACTTTGATTTTACTTTTACTGACATCACCCTTTGTGCTTCGACTGATATTATTTGCAGTTATATTAAATATAATATTACTGGCATTAACTGATTCACTATAGACAGGCCATCACTCTATGATAATAATGGCTCTGTAATTGATATTCTAATGGACTCCCGTCAACCAAGCGCAAATAATCACTCGTGTTTACTGTACTTAACATCTCACAAAACACCTTTCTCATGTGAACTTGAACAATTAGCTACTAATAATGTGGTATTGTGTGTGTTTAAGTAGTGGTAGTATCAAAGCATTAATTGTATGTCCAATCATTAATTCTTGTCAAATACATTTAATGCCACAACAGCATAACAGCACGCTCAGATTGGATTAGGGTACATAAGCACTAAACGTGTATTATCAGAGTCGTAATAACCTGTATGCACACGCGCCAGTGTTAGGATATGTATCCGTCAGTGTGTGCGTATGTTTGTTGAGGAGTGAAGCTCGCGCAGCATTCACAATCAAATACAGTCAAACAAAGCAGCCTACCCTCTGTATGGTTTGTTGTGTGATCTCTCCTTTCCCCCTCGGACGCACAGCTGAAAATGTAACAGACATGTTCCAGTGTGAAATGATAATAAATGTTTTATCTGTATATATTATGCCGCGCTGAGGCGCTTATAGACTCCGGACGAGTATTGCTGACTGATGAAACATAGGGGAGTCTCAGCGTCTAAATATGACAGTTTTGCAAAAAATGAACCATTAAGATAACTGGCCGATGTAAAGCACAAAAAGGTGTTTAATTTTGGTACAGCTAGCTAGAGATGCATTTTTTTTAGCGCTCATTCATAAATAAATGTATTATGTAAGGGACCACCTGCTCCTCCAGTCTCTCTTGGTATAATCTATTCAACTCTATTGGGCCGGTGCTGTCCGTAACGCGTCATTCTCCCACGCACACGACGGACAAAGCCACACAGTGACATTATAATTGCTTTTGTTTTTTGCCTCCTGGCTGTTATATATGTTTCTTGTTATATTTCCTGATTTTATGCTGTATTGTATTTACATTTGAGATATCACGGGTTAATAATAAAAAAGAAAAAGAAAAAAAAAAGCCACAGTGATGATCGTGAACAAAGGGAACCGGCTCACGTCTGAGGCTTCCTTTTTGTAACACGACAGAAAATAATGTTGTTGTTGTTTTTCCGCCACACTGCTCGGTCAAGCGCACTTCATCCACGCACTGTGTTGATGTGACCAACGGGAGAATGTCATTCACCCCTTACGATAAACAACCATGGCTTTACTTAAAAAAATAAAAAAAATAAATAAATAAAATAAATAAAAAACATGATTATTATTGTTAAACCTTGGTAATCACAAATTAACCATAAAATGTTAAAGGTTTAAAATGGTTACATTTACCATTTTAACCAAGGTATTAGTAAAACTGCGGTTATACAAATGTTAACCAATAC